AGAGAAGCCATATTGTTTGAGAAGGTTAGCTTTTTACTTCTTTGCAGATTTATGCCCTGTGGGTTTTATGCCCAACATTTGTCTTGAGGTATCTTTACCACTTGGAAGAATTATGATACTCAGTAATTTCGATATGAGGCACGAATTCTACTTAAGGGTTGTAATTAGGAAGGAAGAAGAAAAGCTATAGAAGTAGCAGATGGAAGAAAACAGGCAGCATGTACTCTTTTATCTAAAGTTTGACAAATGTTTTCTGTAAAGAGCCTGATAGTAAATATTTCAGGCTTTGCAGGGTTTAGGTCTCTAAAGCAACTATTCAGCTCTGTGTTGTGATGTTAAAGAAGCCATACACAATACCTAATTGAATATTCCTAATGAACCTGGAAAAGGTTACATGGTTAAAGAGTTTAATTTCTCTATTCTACTTTTCAAAGTATGGGAAAACTCAGGAATACTCAGATTATACCCAGACCATGCATTAAACCAAAGCAATGAATGTCATTTGAATAAAGCTTTCAGTATTTCCCTCCTAATGAATATTACAAATAAGTACCTATCTCAGTAGTTTGGTTCACAAGTTCTGGGGAAATTATCTCTACCTCTTACTTAACCTTCCATTGGGTCTAAATCATGCCATTAAAATCCCGTTGCAGAGGAGGAGTCTACTTAAAACAATTATTGAAGTAAAATTAAATACACATTTACTCATTTAAATATGCAGTTTTATGAGTTTTGGTAAATGTATCAGTTGTGCAAACACTAATAGGTTAGTTTCATAACACTTACATTGTCACTAAAATGTAAAGGGTTTACCTGATTAGATCAGGCCCAATCAGGATACCAGGCTAATCTCTCCTTTGATTAGCTCAAAATCAACTGATTAGAAATCTTTATTACATTTCAAAATACCTTCACCTTTGCCATATAACATCATTAGCGGTGATAAGCTGCCATCTTTGCCATATTCTATAGGGAAGAGTCAGGTCACGGGTGTGCGCACACTCAGGGGGATGCGTCTGTTATAGAGTGTGGTCCAGGGGGTCATCTCGTGACATTTCCTCTTTATCTTCTAATTGATCTGTCCTTCCCTCTCTCTTTCCTTCATGCCTTCCTTTCTTTTTTTCCTCCAAGTGAAGGAAGAAATAGAGTTGACAGGTAAGACTGGCTGTGGGAAGGGAATATTGAAGGTTTGAGAAGAAAGGAAATGATTAGAAAACATCACCTAAAGGAGGAGGAGAGAGAATGACTGGGTGCTGCCTGCTTGCTGGGCAATGCTAAGGGGCCACTCGAGGTTGGTTATGAAGTTAACATGGACAGAGCATGATCTTGCATTCTTCTCCAGACTTGTTAGGCTGTGTGAGGGCAATAACGGAGCAGAGGGGCCATAACTGTTCCCTCTGTTCCTCGGAAGAATACCGCACGATGAAGGGGAAGGGAAAGAGGAACTGAGGATGTGGAATTAGATTGTTAATTAAAGTCCAGCCTCCACATCCCACCTCATCCCACTTGCCCATTGAAGGTGGAGTCGTGGCTCCTCGTTGTGCCCAGCCAACACTGCCCAAGAGGGTGCACTGGAGTCCCATCTGTGTCTGCTGGGCAGGGCATTGGAGATGACTCCTCACTGGGTCTCACCAGCATCACCCAGGCTGGGGAATGTGTATTCCTGATGCTTTTGCTCCAGTGTGTGTGTGAAATATTAGCTCCCTATTCATCTCTGTTGAAACTATGGGTTGGAGGAGGGACAGTTTCCCCATAGTGTTTGGCTGAAGTAGGGCAGATATTGTCAAAAAAGTGTTTTATGTCAGCTACCCTTTACCTTGTACTTTGGTAGGCTTTTTTTGAGCTTCCCTATACCTCCCCACTCCCACCACCCCATCCCCCTACTACCCCATCCCCCACTCCCACTTCCACCTCCCCACCATGCAACCCAGGCCTGGTGGCTGGTCTTGGATACATGCTTCTCCATTGCCCCCACTGCTGGCAAAAAACAAAACAAAAACTAAACAGGAAACTCTTTGCTATCCTCTCAAGTTCCAAAGTTTCTAGGCACAGTCTGTCTGCTTTCTACCTTTCAGAATCTTCCTATGTTTGTTGTGTTACATTTAGGGTTTTTTAGATGCAAAAAAGGAAGACCTGGAAGGAACAGAACTACGGTCTTGGCCTGTCCTGGGAGCTCTCTCTGTTTTTTTAATTGGGTGATTTGTCTTCCTATTGTTGATTTCTGAAAGTTATTTATATATTCTGGATGCAAGTCTTTTGTCAGCTATGTGTTCTTGAAACGTTTTCTCTCAATCTGGGTCTTGTCTTTTCATTTTCTTGATGAAATCTTTTGATAAGCAAAAGTTTTAAATTTTGATAAATTTCAACCCTTCAATTTTTTTTTTTATTGGTTCTGCTTTTTGTGTCCTATTTTAAGAATATTTCCTAAATGTAGGTCACAGCTGTTGTTGCAGAGCCATTAGTGGAAGCCATTCGTCCTGGTACTGTCTTTAAGAAGAGGCTAATTTAGTGTGGTGTCCTTTTTATACTTTCTTCCATGTCTTTCTGGTTATCAATTTCATGACATCACCATTTCCTCGTTAATCCAGGCTTCACATTTGAAAATTACCTTTCACTCATGCCTCTCACCACCTTTATATATCATTAATTATATAAATATTGTAGTTTCTCTTTGGAATGGTGGTCAGAAGACATGAGTTTGTGTCACCCTCTGATAATTGCATGATCTGTGATCTTAGACTCTCTGGAATTCTGGGTCATTATCTTCCAAATGCTGATCATACCCTCTGGACAGGGTTTTTGTAAAGACTCAATAAAGAACACAGACTGTAGCTGTGTTGTTCTTAATTTTTCTCCAATCTTGATTTCAGAAACAAAAATAGCAGTAGAGTCAGAGCATAGTGAGCAAGGAATATCACATTGGAAAAGATCAGCAGTTAAGTGTGGTCTGGTCCACATCATTTAGGCCCTTGAAGTCTATAATAAGGAGTTGGAATTTTATTCCTACAGAATTGGGATAATTGAATTTGTTCATGACCATAATCTTAAATTCTACCACAATTAACTTCAAATCTTTATCTCTACTTCTTTGTCTCTATGGACCATAGCGTAGTTCTAGGTCTACAATTAATGTATAGTAAATAACTAATTGATGAATAACTTGGCACCTCATAAAAAAAACGATCAAACAGACAACTTAAAAAAATTCTTTCAATGATTGACCTAGGAAAGTGATCAAATCAAAAATAATAAAAAAAACAAAATCAAAGATCAAACATGGTCACGCTGAGGAAACTGATTTACTGTAATCCATCAATAGGAACTTGTCACAATGGCAGCATGTTAGAATTTTCTAGGACAACTGGATAGAGTCCCTAGACTCAGCCCCAGGTCATGCTTTTATGCTGTTGCAGGCTGCATGCTTGAGTAGTGACTAACAACTGAGAGAGGCTGGAGCTGTAAGCAGTGTTACTTTCTTCCAATCTTTAGGAAACCCTTTCTTTTAATATTAAGTATTGCTGAGAAAATCCAAGAAGACACTACATGACTCTTCTGTACACCACATAGTGATATAAACTGAATTGCTCTAAAGAGGGTCAAGCAAAATTATAATTATTTCAAGACTTAAATCTTGTGAATGGTAGTTAGAAACCAAAGAATTATAGTGCTGAATATCTATGTATAGGAAAGAGATTTCACATAAAGTACTAAATGTATTTTAACAAATGCCACCTAACCTATTTGATTGTATAATTTTCTGAAAGGATTACCTAGCACAGGCATGTTTTATATATATCTTTATTGATCCATGGACAGGACAAGCCATAGATAATTAAGGGTGAAATTATATATGTATCAACTGTAAAAAAATAAAAGAAATAAAAAATCCGCAGTCTTCAAACTCACCATTAAGACTCCTTTCATCTCATAGCTCACTAGCAAATTGAATATATAAAGCACCTCTCACACAGAAAGTCAGAGAGCAAAGCATTAAAGCAGAACAAATACCAGTGATTAAGGAAAATTGAAAACAGTAGTAAAAATATGTTTCCTTAGTCTACCTTTAAATACAGATGGGGAACTGCAAATAAAGGGAGCATATATGTGATAATTTTTTT